AAAACTTTACACCAACCTCAAAGCACAAGTAACAACCCTTATTGTCCCATCAATGTGTTTTAGTTGCTGCTTTGTCCTTTCATAATCATCCTATCTTCCCTTCAAGGAAGACCCCTTGACCGGATTTATCCTTCCCTTCCTTGAAACAAATCTGAATGCCTCCCATTTCCAAGGTGTTATATGGCCAGTGCTACCCACTGATTTCAATAATTCATCATGTTTCGTCACCACTGTAGCACTGCATGTGCCAAATAAAATGTTAGAATTGAAATTAATTTATGACAGGAGTTCAATGGACAGCAAACTGTACACAACTCTATGTAAATTTACAAATACACAGCCCTGAACACTTAATTATTTAAAGGCTTAAGAAATTTTAAAGATGAATTACTTTTAACACACAAGATACCAGGTATATCTTGTTACATCTATTTGTACTTAGGTTGCACTACTCATGCATGTACATGTGTGTGTGTGTGTACATTTATATATATATATTATTATATATATATATATATATATATATATATATATATAATATATATATTTATATTTTATATATATTTATATTTTTAAATTTTTTTAAATTTATTTATTTTTTTTTATTTTTTATTATCACACTGGCCGATTCCCCCCAAAGGCAGGGTGGCCCGAAAAAGAAAAACTTTCACCATCATTCACTCCATCACTGTCTTGCCAGAAGGGTGTTTTACACTACATTTTTTTAAACTGCAACATTAACACCCCTCCTTCAGAGTGCAGGCACTGTACTTCCCATCTCCAGGACTCAAGCCCGGGCCCTGCCGGTTTCCCTGAATCCCTTCATAAATGTTACTTTGCTCACACTCCAACAGCACGTCAAGTATTAAAACCATTTGTCTCCATTCACTCCTATAAAAACACGCTCAGCATGCCTGCTGGAAGTCCAAGCCCTCGCACACAAAACCCCCTTTTAAACCCCCCTCCCTCCAACCCTTCCTAGGCCGACCCCTACCCCGCCCCCTTTCCCACTACAGACTGATACACTCTTGAAGTCATTCTGTTTCGCTCCATTCTCTCTACATGTCCGAACCACCTCAACAACCCTTCCTCAGCCTCTGGACAACAGTTTGGTAATCCCGCACCTCCCCCTAACTTCCAAACAAACGAATTCTCTGCATTATATTCACACCACACATTCCCCTCAGACATGACATCTCCACTGCCCCAGCCTTCTCCTCGCTGCAACATTCATCACCCACGCTTCACACCCATATAAGAGCGTTGGTAAACTATACTCTCATACATTCCCCTCTTTGCCTCCAGGGACAAAGTTCTTTGTTCTCCACAGACTCCTAAGTGCACCACCCCACTTTTTTTCCCCTCATCAATTCTATGATTCACCTCATCTTCTAGACCCATCCGCTGAAAACGTCCATTTCCCAAATATCTGAATACGTTCACCTCCTCCATACTCTCTCCCTCCAATCTGATATTCAATCTTTCATAAACCTAATCTTTTTGTTATCCTCATAACCTTACTCTTTCCTGTTTTCCCCTTTTAAATTTTCTTCTTTTGCACACCCTACCAAATTCATCCACCAATCTCTGCAACTTCTCTTCAGAAATCTCCAAGAGCACAGGTCATCAGCAAAGAGCAGTTTGTGACAACCCCCACTTTGTGTGTGATTCTTATCTTTTAACTCCACGCCTCTTGCCAAGACCCTCGCATTTACTTCTCTTACAACCCATCTATAAAATTATTAAACAACCACGGTGACATCACACATCCTTGTCTAAGGCCTACTTTTAACTGGGAAAAAATTTCCCTCTTTCCTACATACTCTAACTTGGCCTCACTATCCTCTTTTTAAAAACTCTTCACTGCTTTCAGTAACCTACCTCCTAACCATACACTTGCAACATCTGCCACATTGCCCCCCTATCCACCCTGTCATACGCCTTTTCCAAATCCATAAATGCCACAAAGACCTCTTTAGCCTTATCTAAATACTGTTCACTTATATGTTTCACTGTAAACACCTGGTCCACACACCCCCTACCTTTCCTAAAGCCTCCTTGTTCATCTGCTATCCTATTCTCCTTCTTACTCTTAATTCTTTCAATTATAACTCTACCCATACACTTTACCAGGTACACTCAACAGGGCTTATCCCCCCATAATTTTTGCACTCTCTTTTATCCCCTTTGCCTTTATACAAAGGAACTATGCATGCTCTCTGCCAATCCCTAGGTACCTTACCCTCTTCCCTACATTTATTAAATAATTGCACCAACCACTCCAAAACTATATCCCCACCTGCTTTTAACATTTTTATCTTTATCCATCAATCCCCGGGTGCCTTACCCCCCTTTTATTTTACCTACTGCCCCACGAACTTCCCCCACACTCACAACTGGCTCTTCCCACTCCTACAAGATGTTATTCCTCCTTTCCCTATACACGAAATCACAGCTTCCCATCTTCATCAACATTTAACAATTCCTCAAAATATTCCTTCCATCTTCCCAATACCCCTAACTCTCCATTTAATAACTCTCCCCTCCTATTTTTAACTGACAAAATCCATTTGTTCTCTAGGCTTTCTTAACTGTTAATCTCACTCCAAAACTTTTTCTTATTTTCAACAAAATTGTTTGATAACATCTCACCCACTCTTCTCATTTGCTCTCTTTTTACATTGCTTCACCCCCTCTCTTAACTTCTCTCTTTTTCTCCATATACTCTTCCCTCCTTGCATCACTTCTACTTTGTAAAAACTTCTCATATGCTAACTTTTTCTCCCTTACTACTCTCTTTTACATCATTTATCCACCAATCGCTCCTCTTCCCTCCTGCACCCACTTTCCTGTAACCACAAACTTCTGCTGAACCCCTCTAACCTACATTTTTAAACCTACCCATACCTCTTCGACCCCATTGCCTATGCTCTCAATTAGCCCATCTATCCTCCAATAGTGTTTATATCTTACCCTGACTGCCCCCTCTTTTAGTTATAACCTTCACCTTTTCTCTTCCCTGATGCTTCTATTCTCCTTGTATCCCATCTACCTTTTACTCTCAGTGTAGCTAAACTAGAAAGTGATCTGATATATCGTGGCCCCCTCTATAAACATGTACATCCCGAAGTCTAATCAACAGTCTTTTATCTACCAATACATAATCCAACAAACTACTGTCATTTCGCCCTACATCATATCGTGTATACTTATTTATCCTCTTTTTCTTAAAATATGTATTACCTATAACTAAACCCCTTTCTATACAAAGTTCAATCAAAGGGCTCCCATTATCATTTACACCTGGCACCCCAAACTTACCCACCACACCCCCCTCTCTCTCTCTATATATATATATATATATATATATATATAAAATATATATATATATATACTGGCAGTTTGGAGGGATATGTTGTGTATCTTTATATGTGTATGCTTCTAGACTGTTGTATTCTGAGCACCCCCCTGCAAAAACAGTGATAATGGGGCGAGTGTGGTGGAAAGTGTTGAATGATGATGAAAGTATTTTCTTTTTGGGGATTTTCTTTCTTTTTTGGGTCACCCTGCCTCGGTGGGAGACGGCCGACTTGTTGAAAAAAAAAAAAAAATATATACATATATATACACATCCATATGTGTTTTCTTCTATTTTCTTAAGAGGAAATGAAGAAAAAGAAGTTATCTCCATGGGGAAGTGGAACAGAATTCTTCCTCCATAAGCCATACGAGGAGACTAAAATGCCGGAAGCAAGGGACTAGTAGCCCTTTCTCCTGTATAAATTACTAAATTTAAAAAAGAAACTTGTTTTTCATTTTAGGTCACCATGCTTTGGTGGGATATGGCCAGTTTTTTAAGGGAAAAAATTACTTTACTTTTTTTTGACTTCAACAAGCAGTTTTCTAAGGGAAGACAGAAAAAATTACATACATCGGTAAATACAGTATATACACTTTGTTATTTACTTTGTACATGTTGGCATAAATGGCCTTGTTGCAGCATCATAGATAATAAGTAGTGTTTATCTTTCACAGGAAGTCAGGGCAAGAAATATTTATCACAAAAAACCTGCTATAAATACAATAGGTAGTACAGTATTTAAATTTCAAGATATTTTTCATGATACAAGTCATATTTTAACTTCTAACTTTGAAATACCACAGATTTAGCAAGAAAATTATGATCATAATTCAGCACTAAACTTGGCATAAAAATACTAGTAAACACTCAAATGTAAGCTTTCAACATTATTGGTTATACTTTGCTTTTAATTTTATTAATCTATTTTATTTTTTAGGGTTTTCTGAGAACTTTTCAGTCCTGAAATCTAAATCTGAAAACATTTCAAGTTAAATTTGTTAAATGTGGTGATATTTTCCTTGAAAGTGATTCCATGGAGCTCTAAGGTGTAATCATACTACCTTCCTCTAATTCTCAACTTTTAGTGCCACTGTCCTTTGATAAGCGTTTGTTGAGAGTCTTCAATTTTTTAATTTTTCTGTGAATTACTTCACATTTGAAGTTATATCTGGAAGTCCAGCAAGCACTTCAAGTTCACTCTGATAAATGTGATCTTTTCTTGACAGCGACTTCCTGGACCTCTTAGGAGTAAGTGTGCTACCTGCCTCCAATTCTTTATTTTCATTTTGAGAGTTACTCTCCTTTGATTTCCTTGAAGGAGACACCTCATTTATTGGAATTTGTTGAGAATCTGCACATTCACTTGGAGAGGATTTTCTTCGTGATTTCAACTGGTTCACATTCTCTTCCGATGTTCTTCTAGGACTAGGATACTTTATGAATTCTGTTTCTTTGTTATTGCTTAAAAATGGGATCTTACTTTTCCTTTTCTTCAGCTTACTATCATTCACTTCAGATATAGATGGCTTATTGACGTCATCATTAGCACGATTCCTCTCCAATGAAACATTTAGATCTAGGCTTTCATTCATATATCCATCCATACTTTGCCTATTTTCTGTCTTATTATGTATACTGTCGTTTACTTAATTAATTAAATCACTATTTTCCACTTCATTATCTTTCTTTCTTCTTTTCTTTTTCTTGTGTTTAACATTATCCACATCCTCTATTTGACTGCCACTCAAATTCTCTTCTGATCTCTTTCGTTTTTTACTTTTCACTTTTTCCATACCTTTTACTTCATCTATGGAATTATGAATTATGAATCCTGTTTCTTTGTTACTGTTTAATAAAGATGGATTCTTACTTTTCCTTTTCTTCAGATTACCATCATTTACTTCCGATACAGATGGTTTATTGACATCATCATTAGCATTATTCCTCTCTACAGAAACATCCAGATCTGAGTTTTCATTCATATATCCATCCATACTTTGTCTGTTTTCTATCTTTTTATGTAATCTGTCTTTTACTTTATCACTTATATCAATATTTTCTACTTCATCGTGTCTCCTTTTCCTTTTCTTGTGTTTAACATCATTCATTTCCTCCATTTCAATGCCATTCAAATTCTCTTCTGATCTCTTTCGTTTCTTGCGTTTCACTTTTTCCACACTCTTTACTTCACCTATAGCAATATCATCTTCAGGAGCTTGAGAGATGATTGGGCTTTCGGTCAAGTTCGTTTCCTTATCACTCCTAACTAATGACTCATCTAGTCCATTACTGCTTATGCCACTGTCATCATCAAAGATAATTCTAGTATTCTGTTTTGGGGTATCACCCGTAGCCACATCAGCTTCTCTTTGATTTCTTAAGTTTATCAGCTCCTGAACACTGTTGAAGGGAAAAAAAAAAACATTATTACATGATTTCCACATAAATTACAGCAATCCAGCATAGAAAGTTGTCAAGCAGTAAGCCAATCCTACAGCTTAGTTCCTGTGTCCAGAGCCATTCTGCTTTCGGTTTACTTTCTGCTCCACTTTCAGCTTACAAAAGGCCACTCTGTAGAGCTAGCTGTTTTCTTAAGTTCCTACATATATATTACTGTACCTTGAATATGCTCCAACAACATGTCCAAGACAAAAATAAGGAAATACAATACTTGATAGAAACTATTTCCAATTAAAATGAAACTATGTAATTAACAAAATTGTCTCATGAGGCCACTAGCTCTAAATATAGTAAATAAGACCAAATAAATGTGTACCACATCTGCAGCTATTTGCATTTGGCATTAGGATATCAACAAAATATAATTATTCCCTAACAAGGTTAATTATGGTAATAAGGTAAATTGATATAGAAAATTATATAATCCCAAGTCATATGTACCAAATTTGAAGCAATTTTTCCCTGAGCAGTGTCGAGATATTGATTAAAAATCCAGCACAACCCATGAAATATTAAAATATAGTTAACTCAAAATGGCTACAAAGAGACAGTACTGCTGCAGTGCTATTGCATTTGATTCCAAACACGTAATTACATAACAAATTTGAAGTGGTTCTCCTTTTCTGTTTTCAAGATAAAATAAACTGAAAACTAAGACAGCAGAAAATATTTAATGCAGTAGAATTTAACTTTTCATGCTGTCAATTTCAACAGTCCATCCAAAATATCATTTGGTAAGGACTGTATAAATGTGTATTTAACAAGTTTGGTGCATAGTGTTTCCTTTCAGCCGCAGAACAGTTTATCCAAGTGCTTTATGCTTAACTCCTTAACTGTGGCATACCCGAAAAAAAAATCTCACAATAAAAGATTGCATTTTTATGAATCGAATAAAACTAAAATAAAAAACTTAAAAGGTTTTATGGCATGCTGAAGTTGGTGAAAAAATGATTACTCATGGACAGTAGCGTAAATGCACCAGTGATGTTTACATTTTACAATTTATCGATGCCAAATTGTGATTTTTTAAAATTGTTTTCAATGTTTAACACTGACGTTACATGTGTTCCAAGGTGCTTTAGCACTTCAAATATGGGAAAACACTTAGCCTGGCACTGCTTCACTTGAACTATACAATGAAAAAAAATTGCTTTTTATTCTAATTTTTACTGCTTTGGTCTTCTAACATAATGTACAAGGAATATTTATAATACAATTGTTTCAAGGTGCAATACTCCTTAAAACAGAAATCAATTACATTGTTAGACTATATAGGATTATTTTATTTATTATTATTATTTTTATTATCACACCGGCCGATTCCCACCAAGGCAGGGTGGCCCGAAAAAGAAAAACTTTCACCATCATTCACTCCATCACTGTCTTGCCAGAAGGGTGCTTTACACTACAGTTTTTAAACTGCAACATTAACACCCCTCCTTCAGAGTGCAGGCACTGTACTTCCCATCTCCAGAACTCAAGTCCGGCCTGCCGGTTTCCCTGAATCCCTTCATAAATGTTACTTTGCTCACACTCCAACAGCACGTCAAGTATTAAAAACCATTTGTCTCCATTCACTCCTATCAAACACCCCCACGCATGCCTGCTGGAAGTCCAAGCCCCTCGCACACAAAACCTCCTTTACCCCCTCCCTCCAACCCTTCCTAGGCCGACCCCTACCCCGCCTTCCTTCCACTACAGACTGATACACTCTTGAATTTCATTCTGTTTCGCTCCATTCTCTCTACATGTCCGAACCACCTCAAAAACCCCTTTCCTCAGCCCTCGGACAACAGTTTTGGTAATCCCGCACCTCCCCTAACTTCCAAACTACAATTCTCTGCATTATATTCACACCACACATTGCCCTCAGACATGACATCTCCACTGCCTCCAGCCTTCTCCTCGCTGCAAAAATTCATCACCCACGCTTCACCACCCATATAAGAGCGTTGGTAAAACTTATACTCTCATACATTCCCCTCTTTTGGGCCCCCAGGGACAAAGTTCTTTGTCTCCACAGACTCCTAATGCACCACTCACTCTTTTTCCCTCATCAATTCTATGATTCACCTCATCTTTCATAGACCCATCCGCTGACAGTCCCCTCCCAAATATCTGAAAACGTTCACCTCCTCCATACTCTCTCCCTCCAATCTGATATTCAATCTTTCATCACCTAATCTTTTTGTTATCCTCATAACCTACTCTTTCCTGTATTCACCTTTAATTTTCTTTTTTGCACACCCTACCAAATTCATCCACCAATCTCTGCAACTTCTCTTCAGAATCTCCCCAAAAGCACAGTGTCATCAGCAAAGAGCAGCTGTGACAACTCCCACTTTGTGTGTGATTCTTTATCTTTTAACTCCACCCCCTCTTGCCAAGACCCTCGCATTTACTTCTCTTACAACCCCATCTATAATATATTAAACAACCACGGGGACATCACACATCCTTGTCTAAGGCCTACTTTACTGGGAAAAAATTTTCCCCCTTTCCTACATACTCTAACTTGAGCCCCACTATCCTCGTAAAAAATCTTCACTGCTTTCAGTAACCTACCTCCTACAACCATACACTTGCAAAATCTGCCACATTGCCCCCCTATCCACCCTGTCATACGCCTTTTCCAAATCCATAAATTTCCACAAAGACCTCTTTTGCCTTATCTAAATACTGTTCACTTATATGTTTCACTGTAAACACCGGGGCCACACACCCCCTACCTTTCCTAAAGCCTCCTTGTTTATCTGCTATCCTATTTTCCGTCTTACCTTAATTCTTCAATTATAACTCTACCATACACTTTACCAGGTACACTCCAACAGACTTATCCCCCTATAATTTTTGCACTCTCTTTTATCCCCTTTGCCTTTTTACAAAGGAACTATGCATGCTCTCTGCCAATCCCTAGGTACCTTACCCTCTTTCCCTACATTTATTAAATAATTGCACCAACCACTCCAAAACTATATCCCCACCTGCTTTAACATTTCTATCTTTATCCATCAATCCCGGCTGCCTTACCCCTTTCATTTTACCTACTGCCTCACGAACTTCCCCCACACTACAACTGGCTCTTCCTCACTCCTACAAGATGTTATTCCTCCTTGCCCTAAAACACGAAATCACAGCTTCCCTATCTTCATCAACATTTAACATTCCTCAAAATATTCCTTCCATCTTCCCAATACCTCTAACTCTCCATTTAATAACTCTCCTCTCCTTTTTAACTGACAAATCAATTTTTTTCTCTAGGCTTTCTTACATTTTTAATCTCACTCCAAAACTTTTTCTTATTTTCAACAAAATTTGTTGATAACATCTCACCCACTCTCTCATTTGCTCTCTTTTTTTTCATTGCTTCACCACTCTCTTACCTCTCCTTTTTCTCCATATACTCTTTCCCCCCTTGCATCACTTCTACTTTGTAAAAACTTCTCATATGCTAACTTTTTCTCCCTTACTACTCTCTTTACATCATCATTCCCCAATCGCTCCTCTTCCCTCCTGCACCCACTTTCCTGTAACCACAAACTTCTGCTGAACACTCTAACACTACATTTTTAAAACCACCCCATACCTCTTCGACCCCATTGCCTATGCTCTCATTAGCCCATCTATCCTCCAATAGCTGTTTTATATCTTACCCTAACTGCCTCCTCTTTTAGTTTATAAACCTTCACCCCTCTCTTCCCTGATGCTTCTATTCTCCTTGTATCCCATCTACCTTTTACTCTCAGTGTAGCTACAACTAGAAAGTGATCTGATATATCTGTGGCCCCTCTATAAACATGTACATCCTGAAGTCTACTCAACAGTCTTTTATCTACCAATACATAATCCAACAAACTACTGTCATTTCGCCCTACATCATATCGTGTATACTTATTTATCCTCTTTTTCTTAAAATATGTATTACCTATAACTAAACCCCTTTCTATACAAAGTTCAATTATTATGGTATGTTATGGTATGTTACAGCAGGTCCCCACTTATACGGCAGGTTAGGTTCCAGGCTACTGCCGGAAAGCAGACATCGCTGGAGAGCAGAATGCCACTTTTTCCACTTATAAATGCATATAAATGCCAGATAACAAGTTTACACTAACATACCTTAAGTTAGCAATAGAACTAGGCATTAAAAAACAATAAAAACTAAAATACACACACAGTACACTCATTATTTACCTTAGAATATTTGTAGTCTTAATGTAGGGCAAAAGGAGGTGAGTAGTATTTACTGTAAGAAGTCAGGTGTGGTAGCCCTCCTGGCCAACCCACTCACACATAATATACTAGGATGATGCTTAAAGCACCCTTGAGTGATAAAATGCATGTACAGTATGCTGTACCGAGGCAGGGTGACCCAAAAAGAAAAAAATCCCCAAAAAGAAAATATTTTCATCATCATTCAACACTTTCACCTCACTCATACATAATCACTGTCTTTGCAGAGGCGCTCAGATATGACAGTTGAGAAGTCCCTCCAAACTGCCAATATCCCAAACCCCTCCTTTAAAGTGCAGGCATTGTACTTCCCATTTCTAGGACTCGAGTCCGGCTAACCGGTTTCCTTGAATCCCTTCACAAAATATTACCCTGCTCACACTCCAACAGCTCGTCAGGTCCCAAAAACCATTTGTCTCCATTCATTCCTATCAAACAAGCTCATGCATGCTTGCTGGAAATCCAAGCCCCTCACCCACAAAATCTCCTTTACCCCCTCCCTCCAACCTTTTTGAGGACGACCTCTACTCCGCCTTCCTTCCCCTACAGATATACTTTCTAAGTCATTCTACTTTGATCCAGTCTCTCTAAATTACCAAACCAACAACCCCTCTTCAGCCTTCTGATTAATACTTTCAGTAACTCCACACTTCTCCTAATTTACACACTCCGAATTTTCTGCATAATATTTACACCACACATTGCCC